CAACGAAGGGATAATGAATCAATACACAATACCGGATACAAGCTGGAAACCCATTCAACCAGAAACCGCCGGGATGTCCCCAAAACAAAGACTTCGAAAGGATCTCGAGTGCCATATTGGGACAATGACAACCAATGGTTTCTTCTTGGAAGTAGAAATATACATCTATAACCCAAAAGTGACTAGATACGTCGACTTTGGCTCCTATCGGTTTGTCCAAGGGCAGTGAAGTGACAATTCAAAACAGGGAGAGAGTCCAAGTGGGGAGGCCGGACAGGAGCAAAGAGCAAAGAGCAAAGGATCATCTGCAAGAACTTGAAATGATGTTCTTCTGGAGCAAAGGACATGCGATAGAAACCACATGAGACAACTCCCGGGGATTGCTGTTCCATCTGTTAAGACATATGTGGCGGGCTCCGTGAATCTTTTCCGCGTCCTTCTGTGGGTTCAATATCCTCTACAAATCGGTGGTTTGAGGGAATTTCCCATCTTGGTTTGAACAACACTACCTTCACTCAAAGTAACATATGGAATATAGTGTAAAGCAGGTATGGTTGTTAAGCCGGTCAAATATGTCACACTCAACAAAAAAAGGTCCATGTTGCTAAGCAAAACCTGGATGCATATGCATATGTCCTTTTGTAACGCACAATCGTCAAGCAGGTCCATCGTCCATCCATCTCCATCATTCATGTACGACCGTGACGCACGCCTCCCCCCCCCCTGTGACGCCCGCGCATCATCTTCCCGGTCTCGCAATCGGATCCCCGGTCTCCAGCATCGGCCCGGACGGCGCGATGGTTCGCAGCTGAAGTACACGCTGCTTGGCAGGTGCACGAGGCTGATGTCCTCCATGAAGCATATCTTAGAGGCCCTGAAGTCACCCCATCCCACGGCAAAAAAACAGAAAACCACGGGCCCTACCTAAGACTGGAGTTCTGCCGTTCGAAAACGCTGGGAGTTGGGAGTGGCTTGGCAAGGGCTTCAGCAAATCCACCCTGTTGGGGTCGTGGCAGTCTTGAGGAGTGAGCACTGTCTTGAGGTCGAACCATGGTATTTTGTCAGAACAGAAATTCACAACAGTCACGATCCTCCTCAGGGCGTTAAAAAAAGAAGCACGGAGGTAGGGTCATGAAGTGCATTGGCGTCAGAAATACAGCCACGCCAAAGAAGTGTCTCCATGTTCCATCCTTCCAAAATGGAAACAAGCTTGACATCATGCGGCCTCAGAAACATCTTATGAATAGCATCATATATAGAATACTAGAAAACATAATACATATGTGCAACGGCATTTATTTGGTACTAAGCTCAAACACACTATCTATATTATAGTAATATCTATTATCATGCGGGGACCTATCTCGTTTAGACTACTTAAGCAGGAGGTCATGCCCCAGTATCTCTTTCAGACTGCTTTAGTAGCAGATCACACTATCTCGTTCAGGCTACTTTAGTGTCATCAAGCAAAGGTATATCGTTTATGTGCGGGCCCTATCTCGTTCACAAGCGAATACTGATGATAGACAAGCAAATAGAGCATGCCGTATACAACTTTAGTAAAGGTTGCTGATATACATATACAGGTTATAACATGCTATAACAAACATAATGATCATAATGTAGACTTTGCCAGGCTCCATTCTCTTCGCAGTCCCCAAAGAGGTCGCTTTGGTCAGAGTATAAAATAGGCAAAAGGATGGTTAAGTCGGTGTTTTTCTCAAATATCCATTGGTCTTTCAAAAACTCGGTTTGGTGGGCCAAGAGCGTTTTACGTGGCATCGCGTGGCTGTGGCCCCCATCTTCAGGGCACCCAAGGGTACAGGTCTTGTACCTGTTCCAGTTTTCCGTGCGCAAGGCGCAAGATCAGTGGAAGCACGGCGTGTTTTGCTCTGGGCCTAGCCAGGCCTAGCCGGGCTCAGTTGTTCAGCTCCAAAACCATTGAAACGTGTCCCAAAGACAAGCTGAAATGCAAATGACGTGGTAAAATTCCAGTGATGTCCCAGAAACGCTGATGGACCCTCATATGGAGAAATCAGACCTTAAAAAGAAGCCTGGCGTTTCCAGCTTTCAGGGACGAAGGGGCTGTGAACGGAGCGTTTGGGTGGAAGGAAAGGTGGCCGATCTCAGGAGTTGCTTGACTGACCCCTTCAGTTTCCCTGAAATGGTTAACCTTTTTCCATCTGTTCTACTCCAGCCATGTCAATTGATGGCAACACTATCGACACTCAGGACGGATAGTGCAAAACAAAGACCCTAAGAGACATTGTTCTTTTTTGGTGGGGGGGACACTCCACAAAATAGTATTGCAGGTTATCCACTGACTGGGCGATCTCAAAACTCTTCGCTCGCCGAGTCAAGTCCACTTCTTCGCTCTTGCAAAGCCAGGCGACTTGGTCAGCCAGTGATTTCATCACGGACCGCCAATGCCCAAAAACGGCCAAAACTACCCGGGGGACAGGGCGCAGTCTGAATGAAGTTTGGAGCGGAGAATCTCGAGAGTGGTTCTTGAAGGACAGTTGACTATCCCTAACAATCCGGGCCCTCAAGCACATAGGGTTTTGAGGGTCTGGACCCCTGCCATGGAGGGTCCGACCCCCACCATGGAGGGTCGGACCAAGGATTCTTAGGGATACACATCCTTTATAAGTCCATTTCGGTGTGTTCTTGGGCAGGGCATCCCACAGTCGAGGCCCCAAAAGAACTCTTTTCCTCAAGCCTCTCCAGGAAGGTTCATAAAGGTCTGCCTAAAGCAGTGCAGCCACTAGTAACTAGTATACAACTATAAGCACATAATTTCACAAATCATCAAATACAGCTCGTTTCCTTCCTGATTTGCAGCAAGTTATACCCTTTGGGAACCTGCCTGCTTGGCTTAGACCCAGTTGGGCTTAGCAAAAGGTTGAAACAAATACCATGCGTTTGATTGATGATCTCTGCTCTGATTTTGGCGGCATGGTGCACCCAGTTGGCCCCAACGGCCCTACGGCTGTTCAGAATGCCTCCTGCAGCATGGGGCAGGTTGAGAATGTCTGAGTCCATTGTGGCAGTCTCCGCTGTTGGAACACATTTTGCAACATCTATGGCGTCCAAAACACCATTTAAGAACCCTTAAAACCTAAAACAAGTTGGTGCAGGGTCTCTGCCTTCCAAAAGTGGCCTTAGCTGAGAACTACTCATTCCTTCAACGCAGGCTTTCTTCAAACCACTGGCACCGCTGACCCCAGCTGACCCCCTTCTCCACTTCTCGAGGAACATAGAACCGAACCGTTCATCTTGAGTGGTGAACCAACATGACCACGCAATGACCGGATGCCCACGTAGGTTGAACGCAGCTGATCCACGGTTGGGTTCTAGCACCGCAAGGACTATCATTAGGTTGGGTCGTCTTCAGCAGTAAAGGACCGGATGATGATGGGGCCTGGGCAAGCAGGCCGACAGTTCAGTGATCAACGTGTTTTCACACCTTGATCTGGTCATCACCGGTCCCTTCCGGGGGAAACAAGGATCAAACACGTCCGGTCTCTCGGGTGAACGCTCCGTTAGGGTTTAAGAAACGAAGAATCTGACCCAAAGAATCCGACCTGTCTGGGACAGGAAGACTTGTATACCCCAACACGACCTGAAACCTTATTAATATATACTTAATATATTCCAGTCCATGGAGTGTCTGGGTGAGCAAATCTCCGCTGTGACTTCTTAGCAGAATGCGATGAACTGGAGAGACATTATGATCGATTGAACTTGTGGCTTCTTTTTATTGGAATCACGGGGAGTCGCAGTTCCTCCTTTTGACTCCCTTGGGGAATAATCCCGAGTACCTATTAAGAAACGGTCCCCTATTAAAAACAAAACTCATGTCGGAAACCCCTAAATACGGTTTATATTTGTTTTTAAACTGCCGCCCTTTCAAACCGCTACTAAACTACCAACATGGCCGATTTTGGAGGAGTTTTTTGTTAAATAGGTTCCAAGAACAACCGTAACTGCCCACCTCTGTCCACCCTGTCTATCCACCATGAAACACGCCGTGTTTACACCAGCAGGCTGTCCTTTCCCCAATGGCACGGACTCACGCCAACGCACTTTCCCCCAATGGCACAGCGACATCACCTTTCGAAAGCTTTATTATATAAGTTGTTAGTCGGGGAAAAGGAAGAACCTTCGATCTGGAGGTTATTGAATTTTTGATACGAGTTTAATAGAGGATTTTATAGAACATTTTCCTGGGTGACTTTTTGGTTTTGAAGCCCTTCCCAGGTGACGCTATTTTGGACCCGGATCATTCCAACGGCTTGAGGGCAGAATTCCAGCAGCCAAAGGGTGATTTTTAGAAGGGCAATACACGGTCAGGGGAGTCCAAAACCACCCGACCTGGGCTGGTTGAAAGCTTCATTTCGAAGCGCTTCAAGCGGGACGGCGATCCGGAAACTGCGGCGTTCCACCCGTTCGGTGACGAGCTGTCAATCCGGTACAAGCCTCGGACCCAGCGCCAGGTGTGTGGGGTGGAGAAGCGCCAGGGTGTCCAGAATATGCGCCTCGCCGTCAAAGACTTACCTACCACATCTTGCCATAATACATCCAAAGACTTGCCCCAAGAGAGGGACAAATGCATCGAAAACATCTCTGATACATTCTGAGCATGACATTTCTCCATGTCTCCACCTCACAGGACAAATCTGCAGGTGACATCTAAAGGCAACGGATGCCTGCCGACTGAGGATTAGCAACGAGGTCGACCAATACTCCGACTGGGGTCTTGTGGTAGGGCTTTGGGAGGTTCTTTCCCCAAACACTCTGCTAGGCTGGTTGTTTGGGACCCCATTATTAAAACAGAACAAAACCAACCAGGCCCGATGTACCTAATTATGCCAGTCCCATGGAGTGTTGGGAGTACATGTTCTTTTTCACCATTCCAAGTTCCAAGGGAGGAACACCTTCGAGCCTCGTCCTCCGATCAAACCGCCCACTCTCGAGAGAACCCCTGCCATGGTACCAGTTCATTGCTGCAGGTGCTCATGATGTCCAGGATGCCTGATTTTGGCAAAGAGAGGCGCAAGGGACATGAAAACCATTGTTGAACTTCTGCACAGCCTGACAACAACATAACAACATCTGTAGAATCAATAGCATCTGTTGTAAACAACTGGCGCCGCCCCAAACACATCTAGTTGGATGGAACGCAAACCACTTATATATCCCAAACGCTCCATGGGACTGCCATATATGCCTACATTGGGGTAGTTTGGGGGGTCAATGTATGCATATATGGCATACATGGAGCGTCTGGGTATATATACTTCTACTCGGGCCTGGTGAGTTAGGACTTTGAGAACAACACCTCGTAGTGAACGACTCCTGTCCCATGAGGGAAAAGCTGTTTCGACCATTGTGCGGGTAGATTTGTTTTGTATTTAATTGTTCTATAAAACATGCCAGCAGGTCTATGCCAGCAGGTGGCACATGAGATAGGACTTGGCCCTGGCCCATGGACGTAGAGAATAGAGAATGGGGTGGATAGTTGTCAGGTTGGAGGCGCAACCTCATGAGATAGAACCAAACGGGAATCGTTGGCATGCTGAACCGAAGCGTTCCAAATGTGTTCAGTCTGCCATTTTCTCAAACTGATTCTTTTGACCAGGGTAATTCCAAAATCGCTTATATAATAGTTTTAAGTTTGTGCTGGGAGCAAATCCCAACCCGTCTTCCCCCAGTACATCTATTTAGATATACAATTACATTGTACACTTTGATTTCAAGCAAAGCCCAAAACGGCCACTCACCGCCCAAATGATGCTTGAATTTGTTGGACGGTCAGCTTAAATTTTAGGAGGATGTATCCACCACCCTTTGGAAGGTGCTGTTGGTCTTCGACGAGCTACTCGTCTCCACTTGCGTGAGAGGAAGCGCGATGACTGGAGTGCCGCGATGCGCGGCTGGCCCGCCGCGCCGCCGCCGCGCGGGCGGCCGCGCGCTTCAGGCGGCGCTTTTGCTTCTTGAGGTGGCCCACTTGAGCGGCCATGTTCCTCGGTGGGCGACGTGTCCCGCGGTATTCTGTCGGCTTCGCGGATGTGACAGTGGTCGGCTATACGCTATACGCATGACAAAAGGTGCTTTTTATAGGAAGGTGTCGAATGAGGTGGAAAAATCAAAAAAAAGCGTTCAAAGTGGAAGGCGTCACCTCCTTCAGACTGCTGCCGAAGCTCGACTGGAAAAGTCAGGGATGATGGAATACAGCTGCGGCCCAAAGTTGCATATTTACCGACATTGGGGGATCATTGATGGTTGAAAAGGGATCAAAGTGTAGGTAAACAGTTCTAGTCCCATGGAGTGTTTGGGGTAGCCATTAGGAAATTCTAGCATCCTCCTCCACCTTCAGAAGCCGCAGAACATCCAAGGGGCGCATCCGGCGCGAAGATCAAGAGATAGCTCTTCAGCCAGTTCCAGCTGCTGGCCTTTGGGCCATCGGAGGATCGTTTGGAAGGGCGGAAACCTGGACCTGTGCTGTCCAGGAAGAACAAATCAACACTCAACAGACCCGCCGTGCCCTGTCTGGTTGAGCGTTTCTGTTTAGAGCGGTCATGTGAGTCATGTTGTTGTTGTTGTTGTTGGCTGAGGGATCCACCACATGACGAGTTGCTCAACCAAATCTCCACCTTTGAGGTCACCAATTTGTTCTGATCGTCAGGAGCGGTCCGATCAAACATGTGTGGGCCTCGTTTTTGAGAGTTGGAGCCCCAGGGATGCAACATGATTTCTCTTGTTTGGTTGCCTGTGCCATGGAAGTGCACTACACTAGGCATTAAGAAGATGTACTCTAAATGGACCATGTGTCATGTCTATGAATCAAACTGACCCGTGTCCACCACAAATACAGAATATCGATCAATATGAATGATATGTATATAATATATACAATATATGCCTTCTTGTGCAAGGTTCCTATCGGTTCCCCACTAGTTGGGCCCTACATGCAAATATCAAGCCCTTACACTGACCGGTTTGAGCAAAACTACTCAGGCATCATGCAATCCCAAACCAGGAAGCGTGCCCTCCCCACTGTTTCCATCGTTTTCCTATCAGGGGAGGCAACGCGCGAAACACGGCTGCGCATCCTTTTGGGGATTCTTACGTCGGATGCCCCGGTCAAGCGACCCGATTTTTTCAAGCACGTCGATCGATCAAACAGAGTCTGTCATGTCGCATGTCGTGCACATGTCGAAACAGTGGGAAGTGAGTCGAATGAAAACCAACGACTTGTGACACGACCCAACCATTCGATGCATGGGATATGTCTATATGTCTACGTCCGTGCGGATGGGTCAGACATGGATGGATCGATGTCTAGAACACTCGTCCAGTCCCAAGCATCACTCGTGTCTGGGAATTTTCTCTATGGTTTTCAAATGGCACTGGCCCCCGGAGACGTCTTAGACAAATGGGGATCCATATATAAACCGCCAAACTTGGGGTAAGTTGCGCCATCGAACCTCTGAAACCACTGTACTTTTCAGGGTGGAGGCTTCTCCCGGCCTTGGTGACGAAAGGATCCTCCCTGTAAGGCGTCCTTGGTGTCCGCCAACTAGGCGAAATTCAAGGGAGCTTCAATGTACAGTACGGTATAGGAAAGCACTTCATTAATATTAGTACACGTGTACTAAATATCTTTGACAAAGCTCATTTTGTTTGCATGCATGCAAAACTAACATATGTACCGTGCTTTCAGCTTTGATACATACAAATGGAGAAGGGCAACCGCAGGATTATTCAAATGTCAAACCAAATGATCGAACCAAAGACATGTATCCAAACTATCCATGGGACTGGCCCATGGAAGCAGCATGTTTGTTCCACAGTCTGGATGGTCTGGGGTAGTGAGATTCACCTTGATTCTCTGTCCGGAAGTGTAAAACATGTTGATGAATTGATGTGATACATCTCCAAGGAAAGCATGAGAACCACGGTGGCAAACCTGCTGGCGCTGAGCAAATCGTTTAGTTCCCTTCGTTCATTGCATTCATGTGGACACGAGTTCAATTCAATAGCCTACCACGTGCTTCATGTCACGTAGAATGATGTGAAAATGCACAAATTCCACAGTGGCCACCATTTTTCAGCGCCACCGAAGCTGCTGGCTTGGCCAGCTGGAGCTGCAACCCCTCACAAATTGTCTGGCGAGGCACATGGTGCCGGTGTCCCAAATAATCATGTCGCGGCCAGTCTTTATCACCACATGCCCGCAGCTGTTCCGCAAGCTTTCATCAATGACCTCACAGGTGTTTTCTCGTTTTCTCTTCTCGGCCGATAGGGGCAACAAGGGTTTGCACAGCCGTAAGAAATTGCAAGAACCTGTTGCTCTAGTCTAGTCCTGAGTCCTGATCTCTCAAAACATCTTGACCCTTGTTTTTGTGTAGGCCCCTTGCATCATTTGGTCCGTGAAAAGCACTACTTTGGTTGCGATGTCAGTTGAGCAAATTTATAAATTTGGGGCTGTATCATAAGCCTCCCCTATTGCCTATGGGTACCAAAGATCGAAACCGCGTTTCTTTGAATGACATCGCGTGCCAGCCAGCAACCACATGAATACTGTATACGCCTATCCTGATGCAGTGTCTATGCATATATGTATATATATATATCTTCTGAGGGCGGCAGTTCGAGGAACTGGTAGAAACCGCGGTCTTGTGTTGCCAGTTGCGGTCTTGTTCAAGTAACTCCACTAAACTAAGTGTTCCTCTTGCTACCTAGGACCTACTTATCATCAAGTTTGGTACACTAACACATAGGTCCATAAGTCCCTAGACTCTTGAAGAACCAGGTCTTCCGCTTCTCTGCTTCTCAGCTTCTCTAACAGTGGGCTATCCATGCTGGTGCAAAATGGATTTCTTCGACAGCAATCACATCTGCAAGCTTGTAATACCCCAAGAGTTGGCAAAACAAAAACAAATACAACATGATCCCAACCATTGAGGTTGGACCTGGTGGTGTTAAGCAGGTGGCCAACATGGAAGCGTCCACCATCTCCCACCCAAGCCCACCATCGGCCCTTCAACCTCACCACGCCCGTTTCCTTTGGGCTTGGCTTCCTTCGGAACGCCCGCCACAAACCACCGGGGCGCCACATTCACCTCGAGGCGGAGCTCCGAGAAGCCATCGAGGTTCTCCTGCCGAAGCACCGCACCGGCCACCGGGCCACGGTGCGGCCGGGCAGCTTGCAGGGTCGGGCTGCACAACCCATTCCCAACACACTCCATGTACGGACATGTTTGGAATACCTGTAGCAGTAGCAGTAACAGTGGATGATGATGATTCATTATTGGTTATTGTGTGTAAGGTCTTTCTCTAGAACAGTGAAAGTTGTTTGCTGCCTGTTACAGTCTGTTACAGGTAATGGGACAAACCAAAGGAATAGTTGCATACATTGGTGGTGTTTGGGGGGTTAATGTAAATATGACACGCATGGAGTGTGTGGGATTTGACTCACATGTGCCGAACGGCCTCCCTCCAGAACCTGAAGAAACACTAAGAACAAAAAACATACACTCCCCGAAAACTAACATAGACCCTGACAATGGTCCCATGGAAGACGATTTTCCACCAACCAGGGCTTTTCCGGTTCCAATCGTCGACACCAGGGTGTAAAAACAAACAAACAAACAATGGTGAACATCGAGCCGGAACCTTGGATCCTCGGTTTTCGACCGGTGAAATCAGCTGGAACAGGCCCCCACCTCCGCGGAGGGGTTTTTGATCGACCGAACAGGCGGGGGACGGTGTGGGACCCGATGGCCGGGGCCCGGCCGGAGATCACAGGAGTCCACGGAGCCGATCAGATCCAGTTCACATCCACATCACAACCAGGAACCCCATCTGCAAAACGGGTGCCTGGTGGTGCAGCTTTTGTGTCCCTGCCCTATACTTGGGCTCCTTGGAGACGCATTTGGTGTTCCATCGAAAGATGTGGTGCAAATTCTTGTGAACTGGGAAAGAAAAGGCATGAAAAGCGTGAAAAGGAAAGGCGCCTGTCGACGCTCACTCTCTTCTTTGCAAGGATGCAGGATACATGCGTCCGCATGCGGTCAAGAACCCTGATTCACCCTTGGGATCCTCGAAGGGGCTCATTGATCTTTGGTTCTGCAGCTGCGTACTTGGCAAACTGAAAAAGCGGCCCAGCACAAGCAACAAAAATCCAAGTCGTACAGTAACTGCCAATTGCACACAACAACCGCGCAGCAACCCCAGAACCCCACCCAGAAAATCGGGAAGGATTGGTTATGCCAGTCCTACCGATCCCGCCTGTGGAAATCAACATAATCAAATCTCAACTTCGCAGTAGACGAAAACACATGGAAGTGGACTGCCTTTGGGGGTGGAAGTACACTCTTCCTTCTACACTTCCAAGGTGCCTTCACTCCACTTGCCATGTAATAGTGTTCGCCGGGTGGTGTACATTTCGCAAATGTAGTGCCTCAATGTAGTTGATCTTGGGCATGAAGGCGTGGGCCACCCTGAACTCCACGATGATCGGGCGCTGAAGTCCATGCTCCTCGGTCGGTGATCTGAACACCAAACAGACCAAACGCGCGGAGTGGTGAGCTGGGATTGGATGAGTTGATGGGAGGAAGACAGGTCGAGTGTCCATCTGCAAGTTTGGTATCCAGAACATATACTGCCCGGGACTCATACGTACTTGAAACTGTTGGAAGCCGAAAGATTCAGATTGGAGGCCTCTCATGCAGCATATGGGCCTCCCATGGCGGGACACCTGTTGGCGCCAGGGTTTTGGAAGTATCAGGTCTTCGATATTCTTCCATCCTCTACGCACCCAAACGCTCGTCACAGCCCGACGTTCTTCCCTCAAGATGAGAGAAGGTTGAGACCCCAGACTCCTCTAAGGGTACGATTTCGGTCTAGGGTCGCGTCTGGGCAAGACCAACATCTTGGTCGATTGCAGCTGTCCCACTCCAGGTATATATGCATACCGAAATCAACCATCCCAACAAATCGGTCAGTACTTTGGTTAGTCAACTTGCCCATAAAGCCTTGTGAACTTGTCCACCATCCCAACTGAACCCTTTTGGAAAACATCCCAACGGTAACAGAACCCTGCCAGTCATCATGGGTCGTGTCATGCCTGGTCATGGCGACAACTCCGGAGAAAACCGAGAAAAGCCCAGGTGCCCAAAGTGGTCGACGCGGAGCACGGAAGACGTCCTCGGCCGACACTCGTGAACAGTCGAATCAATGTTTTTTTCCCTAACGATCTTGACCTTTGAAGCATCTTAAGAACCACCCATCATCCATGTAGGCAAAACCTAAGAATTCAATGGACATGGATTGTCTGGGTGTTGGATGGCGTTGGCCACGGCTCACCACTATATAACTAGATGCTGGACAAAACCACCACCAAACCAAGTCTCCAGTTCATTCATCAAGCCGAACTTGAAGTGATCAACCCCTGCCTTCAAAGACCCTCAAACAAAGGTTGACCTCGTGTAATGATTCTTCGGGATTCAACCCACTGAAATCAACGGCGAACCTGTGGTCTCCCCGTGGTCCCCCCGTTGCACGCTGCAGAAACAGCTTGTAGATCAGTGAGAGAGAGTGATCTTCCAGGTGCAAAGCAATTTGGATCAAAACACACCAAAGCCACGAGAAAGCTCACAATGTGCATCTCTGATGGCGTAAAGGGATTGTGAACAGTCCATTCCCAAACCCTCCATGTATGGAATACAGTTGCTTATACTTAGCCCATGAACATGAATGACCCTAATGTACGTAACTCCATACACGGATTCCTGGCTGGCCTGGGGTTCATCAGTGTCACATGATCTACAAAGGATTAAGTGGTTCGAGTCTCTTGGTGGCCTATGATGGAAGAACAATCACACTTGTCGAGAAGCCTCTCCACTCACTGGACACTCCGAGGTCCAACGTCGAGTTCAAAGGAACTTGTGCGATCCAATTTATATCAGCCCCCTTTCTAAAAGGAGGCGCCCCAAATCCCCCCAAGAGATCCAAAGAGACTTAACCACACATAACCAACAAAAAACATGAACAACAGCATGCTCTGTTAAAAAGTTGCCCCAATATACCATGTCCCCCCCGCCCCGCACCTCCGAATTTCTCACTTTGTTTGCTTTAAACTTTAAGCAACTCAGCCGCAGCTGGGGAGTCATGATCAGTTATGGCATAGCAGCGTAGCTCTCTAAGGGAAAAGCAGCAACACCACTGGGATTTTTCTAAACCTCTAGTAAAATGATCAGTTCAAACGTGGTGCCCTCCCCTACTAAGAAGTGATACCTTCACTGGTGTCCTGAGCAGGAGACCCCTCCAAAAGTCAAGCCGAAACTGCGTCCATCTGTTGAACTTTAGTGGGGAAACATTGGGAAACCATGTCCCCAAAAAGGTGAAATGGAGTGACAGGTTATCCACCTTTCCTGGGTAGGAAGATGTTGGTTGCTGATTGGATCACCAACCTCCCAAATCATCTTAGATGATGTCAACATGTCCAATCCAAATGAACAAACTAGGCAATCCATGACATATCCACCAAACCAAATAGCACTTGCAATTGGGATGTCAAACATGGGACTGGACCAAATCTATCCAAATCCAGAAGAGTTCCCAAGTCTTCAGCTCAAGCATCAGACTTTTGCAACACCACTGGCTCCTCCTCGTTCTCCTCGCAGTCGTCACTGGGGTGGGCGAGTGTTGAGAGACCGAATATTATCCTAGCTTAGGCCTGGGATAGGGCCGGGATGCTAGTCAGGGTTGTGAAAAACCGTCGGTAACACTCAATGGTTTCAACGCAGTGCATCAACTTTTGAACTTCTCCATCTCCGAGACCGGATTGGGACTTGTTGAACAAACCAAAAACGCAAGGGAAACCATCTTGAATGGCAAAAAATCAAGGCCTCTATAAGATCTATAAGGGGACAATACCACCAAACCAGTCACCCAGCACTTCGCAGAACTTCGTTCACTCCTCCTCCGATTCCTCCGGCTGTTGCTGCCGCAAATGATCCACCTGCCACACGATCGATGCATCCGTCGCGGGGTCGAAGCACGTGTTTCTTTGGGAAGCGGACCCAGCTTCACCACGTCAGGGCTGTGGCCGAAACCAACGTGATGTTGTTTTAAAACACATCGAAACGGATAGGGTATGATACAGTGGTTTCAAAGGATCGATTGGTGGGGTTCCGTATAAACCACCTTGTTGGCACACCTACAATCTCAATCCACGATCTTTTTCGCTAAATCCACATGCCAATCACGGTGTGCGTGAGTGTCAAAGCCCTGGCGCCCTTAAACCTCTCAAAAAGGCGGAGGCTCTTGGCACTGTCCAATCGTGGCTCGTCCTCCGTGGGCCCATCTTTCCATGGCCCTGGTTATCCTGGTGTGTTTCACCGCCTTCTGACGAAGCTCCCGAAGCTCTCGCCCAGGGAAGAGCCAATTCAGGAACCTTAGGTGGAGGTGATGTATCACGAAGGTGAAACGTCCACAATCTTGAAATCTCTGGAAACCAGGCGAGTTTGGGAAACCAATATTCCATCCCATGGTCAATGGAATCTGACATGCTAGCCCTTGACTCTTGGAGAACGAGGGTGGTCGTTTCTACACTTTGGAAAGGACAAGGGACAACGCGCAATTAAACAAGCCGGACCAGGTGTCCAGGTGTTTGAAAGTGATCCTGGACCTTAAGTCTATTGCGAGCGAACGCACAGGGCACTGCTTCGCTGGAAGTGGCGTAGCTCAAATGAAATGGTTTAGGCACCTTGAGGCCTTAAGTGAAAACGCCATTCAGATCACCTTTTTATGAATCCAACCCAAAAGCAAACAGTTTTTCTCAGTGGATACTTCTCTTTCATGCGCTTCGCGGGATGGATTCAGTGGGCTGAAAGGGGTGATCAACACACTGGCGGTGTCGCCAATCTTCTCAAACTTGAGGCCAAGACCTTATCTTCCAAGATTCTCCGTTCCGCTTGAAGCTCAGTGTCGAACCTACCATCCGAAGTAGGGAATGGGTACTGTTCCTTCGAACATCTTCGATTTGGGCCCAGCAGGACTGAATTGGGACCCCATAGGCGCATGATTGGGTCATCGCTGCTCAGTACACGGCCTGGAAGTGATGAATATTGAGCTTTAGCCAGCGTGGGCTTCGAAGGTTTCATTGTCTGCTCGACATAGCTTGGATTATAGGTGATGCTCCAACTGCCTTTGTCCAACACAGCTTTAAGGTGTACTAGGTTCATCTCTCTGGTGCGGCATTCAATGAGCATGATGTCCTAAGAACCAGTTTCGGTCCTTTCGCAAGGCACGAGTCCAAGCCACGGTTAAAGACTTTGACTTTTGACTCCCAAAAGCCACGGGGCGTCCGGCACGTTGTCGTACATGCTTTTGGCGTCTGAAACCAAACCAAGGGGCCACTGACATAGCCTGCAGTGCCATCACCTTTCAAGACCTCAAACCCTTTGGATTGTGCAATGACGTGTCGACGAAACAAGCCAGCGTCGAACGCTTCCCGCGACCTGAGCAAGTGTGCACCAAAGGTGGAACCTGCACACATGACCCAACCCCGTGGTTGCTGGCATCAAGCACATCAAACTTTCCTTCACGACCCTTCATCTAAATCTTGATCGCAAACTGACTGATGACCGGTGGTGTAGAGACGCATCTGTGATGATCAGAATTCCGGCCCCATCCAAACTCATGGGGCCGAAGCGAAGTTTGAAGCCTGGATGTTGCTTCGTCCACCTCACCAAAGCATTTGCTGTCAGCAAAGTCTTCACCAACGGAGGCTCTCCTTCAAGGACACTCAGTAACCCATACCCCAACGCACTTGAGCAATGAACCATTGGAAGCTGCCAAGCACGGCTCTCAACTGACGGTTCTCCGCAGGATTGACAGAGCTGTGCACCCAACTGTTTCTTGCGATGAATGGGAACAGAAACTGGCATGTTTTTGTGACATGCACGCATACTCGCTTCAGGAGCTGTGATTGGAAGGTTTGTGCTTAGCTCAAAAAATATGGAATCTGTGTATTTCAATCAATTGATTTCACTAGGGATAAACTAGGGTACCAGAGCATAGGGGTTGAGGCACATAAAGGCCTGCTAAACATGATTGGATTTAAAAGGCAAAAAGACATAAATGGCAAGTAAAGACAACAAAAGACAGACAAAGACAACACACACCAAAACAAAGACAAACCAAGACATGTTGGGCACGCAGCCAACATCAACTGCACAAACAAACCAAGACATGTTAGGCACGCAGCCAACCACATTTTGCTGTGGAGCAATGGCATCATCCTCTCAAGTATAAACATGGCATACACGCCATGCTATCAAATGTTCAAACCATTTGCCGCTCCACATTGGACATTAGAGATTTGACAGTCTGAAATTTGACTGATGTACCTGCCAAGCATGAGCAAACAAACAGAAGGAACTACAGTGTGTGGATTTCTTCGTTGAATGTCTGCTCAAAAAGCCTTGATTTTCACCGCTCACAATGTCAGATTATACCTTTAATATCTGTCGCAACAGTTATATAACTGTCTGCTGCTCACAACGGTCCTTTCTGTTTGTTAAATCAAGCCTGGACCGTCCTTTTCTATAGAGGTTCCATGTCTAAGCTGAGAGGAGGCAGCCACCCTCAACGACCCCATGGCCAGGATGGGGCCCTTTTTGCTGGCAAAGAATGTGGACTTTCTCTTAGGAGTGGAACTCTTGCTTTGCAGTTCGTCCTTGGCCGTGTGCCTGCACTCTCAACAAATGACATATAGAGTGGCTCAGCGGCTCCAGTCGTAACGATGTAGAGGTGCCAGGGACTGGGGTGGGTGCCAGGGATCGAATACCGGAGGGATATAGATATACCTAGAACCTGATTGTCCCCTGTTTTGGAGCCAAACATGGTGTTTTTCCGATCAAAACATGTGTCAACCAGGTTGCAGGTGTATATACTATATATATATATAATTACCTGGAACCCTCCAACGAGTGAAGCAACTGTGTCTGACTCCGTTGCTGATCCGAACATCAAGGTGAACCTGTTTTGGAGTTTGGGTGGGGGAACCGGTGCACCGGAAGAGTTTATAGTGGTTCCCAAATAGATAGATACTGAATGCGTTGCAATACATTCTTAGTGATCTACTTTTCTATCTATTTGGGGACCACTGCAAAATGAGTTAAAAGGCGAACCACTTTTCCTGGGTGGGCTCTCGGTGGTGCAAATCCACCATCCTCCCGGTGCGGACGTGTAAAGTCGATTTGGGTCGCAGCACTCGGCTTTCGTCCCAGCAAGAAAGAAACAGCAGGTGTGCCTTTTCCATTGCCAAACCATCCATGTATGGAATAGTTGTACTGTATACATTCGCATTGTTCCAAACATATCATATGTTAATAGACGCGATATATGCTAACCATATATGCTACTTGATAGAGCCATACGTATAACTTATATAATGTATACTCTTGATTCATAAACCTCCCCTTGAAGAATTCAAACGGGTTGGTTGGTGTATTAATCAAGAGTCTACATTATTATACATATGTGACTGTGCATACATAGACCCTCACTATGACCCAAATGTAGGTAACATTCAAGATGGGAGGCATGATCCTGTCTCGTAGACCCTGTCTGACTCGGTGTCGACCAACTGCAGTGATCCACAGTGACCGGTGAAAAGCCAGGGAGCCCTTTAGGGCCAAACGGTTTGCGACCCCAATGAATGAAATTGGCTACGTCTTGATTGACGACGAGAACATGGGAAATGCCGAGTCCACATGAATCTAACTGAGACCTAAAGGCATCTAAAGGCATCTAATGTAGACTCTCGATGATCTTTCAACCCCCCCTCATCCTTCGGAAGATTCGGACCTTTGCAACATCTATGTCTTTTCGGGACGTTCTGCTCCCAACACGAGTCACGACGGAACCCAACGGCGGAAAAGAACCGAAAAACGGACCTTCCACGACTCATCGCGGACCACCACACCGCCGAGCGGCTCACTGGGGTCGACGCCTCCCCGGGTGGAACGGGGTGGACCCCGGTGGATCGACGTGCTGAGCGGAGCGATGTTTTCCATCGACACCCCGGGTGGAAGAAAACATGGACGCCGTGGGAAAGAAGACACGAACAATCACGAACCAACCCGCAGGGAGCATGTTTTCTGGAACCGAACCTCCGACGCAATGGATTTCACTGGGAAAAACACCACATCACCAAGGTGCAAACCCGCCAGGTGTTGATCTCGGTGCTTACGATGGTGGTGAGCTAATGCTGAGCGACCAAACAGCGATTGCATTGTCCGATGATTCATTTTCTCTTGGTTTGTCTTCATAGGACGAGTGCTAAGACTAGACAATATCATATTATCCATGAAATTTGCAAGTGCTTCAAGAAAGCAAGTCTCCTCATATAGACATCTTTACAATGCGCCCGAACGGTTCCTGGCAACAAATGAACATATATTGAATTCTACTCGTGCATTGCATGATGCTCCAAAATGGTCCATTCATGTCCATTCCCTCTGATATGTTTGTCTCGAAAGGTTTCATTGAATTGCAAAATGAACCTTGATGGAAGGTAGATGCGGGCATGTTCAAGAGGCAGCATGTTCAATGAAGGCAACCCGCCCAAATCGATGCTAGGGAACTCGAAGGTTTAGTGCCACTAAGACACACAAACCTCCACCGAATCTTAGCACTTGACATTGCCAGAATCAACCAGAAACGGCTCCAAACCACTTGATGTTGCCTTTCTTTTCAGAAAACTCTTTAAGATGTCTGAAGCAACAAAAGACAGATATTCTCTCTGTAAAAAGGGAAGCATGTCAAACAAACATGCTACAGGCACTGCAGCACAAGAATCTACTCATCGTGCTTATGAGTTCTAATGAGTCCGTTGGAATGTCTCACTTAGATGACTTCATCATACTGGTATATATAAAATATGCTGCAAACATGGTCCAACAAACCATTTGCTAAACAAATAAAGGTACCCGTATGAACCGAAGTGATCTCTATTTGGAACTATATAGGTATCAGGCTATCTTGAAAAAATTGGCCTGGTCATCAAAACAAACGCCAATCGGTGTTTACATGAGTTTACATGTGTATACACACTCCTGCCTTGAATCAGCAACCCCGACTCTCGGCGAGACCCAGAACCAAAGAACCAATGCATTTTCTTTAATTCATTCTACGCAACACCCAAAAACATGAGAACACTCAAACCCCTCTAGACAGGTACAGTCAGCCAGTTGTATATCACGTCCACTCAAAAAGATATATATTTACCAACAATACATAAAAACACATGTCTATTTCATACCTCGTTCTAGATGATCCAGCCCTCTGCCTTTTCAACACCTGAACCAAAACTCCCTGTTGCTGTTGCTGCTTCCTGCCACCGGCGTCCGACCGCGGAGCCCGGCTGGGTCCCCGCCTTCGGCACCGTTGGCCAGGTAGCTGTGGAGCTCGTCGGCGCTGAAGCGGCTCAAGGGCACGCGGCAGGTGTCCACGAGGAACCACAGTTCCTGCCGATGCGAGGAGCGGACGCATCCGTAGTCACACCCAAACACGACTAATGGGACTGCCATAGAACAGTGTGGCATCATACATGGAGTGTCTGGGACATGGAAGTGAGTGGAACATGGCCCCCCCCTTGGAAGACCCTGTTCGCTTCAGACCGCATAAGGAGGTGAAGGTCCACCGTGTTTCACGGTGACGCCCTCCTCGCGGAGAGCGAAACGGCTCCGCGGTCAGCGGAGCGAACGGGGACGGGGCGGGTGGCGCATCGGAACGACGGAGGTCCGGGACGGGCCAAAGACACCGAGTCCTTCGGTGCGACGTTCGAGTGGAGGTGCCAGTGTTTGGGGGACGGGGGCGGTTTTGGTTTTCGAGTGCCTCATCGGAACTACATGGCCATCCGAGTCCTTCTGACCGGTGCCATGTCAACATATGATTCCTGGTTTGGGCGGGGGAAGCGAGACCGCTACCCCTGGATTCGCGAGACTGGTGTGGGATGTGGGGTGGGGGTGGGTCGATGTGAATCCATCGGCGCAGCATGACTTGAGATCCAAGGTGAACTGAAGCGGGAAACCAATCCTCCCCCCAAAAAGTCAAACAGTTATTAGTACGATTCTTGTCCCCACACCCAACAGAACCCAAGATTCGGAAAAAACGCAATCCTGTGGTCAGGTTTTAAAGGGAACAGTGGGAGAGTCTGAGATCACTTAGCCCCAAACAAAGCACTTAGAATGACAAACATGCTCTGTTTCCTGAAGGTTGCAACCCTTCAGAAGGAGGTTAGAGCCTGCAAACACATTGAATACATACAAAGGGGATCAAAGAGGTCAGTATGTGAATCCCTTTTGGGATTCGACATGGAGCATGGTCTCTACATGTCTACACTTGGGGTTGCGCCATGGGCAGCGAGTGACAAGCTGTCCCACCAGCGGCCACACCCGAAGTGCTTGTTGAGACTGAAAGAAGGGTTCCCAGGGCCAGTCGGGGCCGAACAGAAGTCTGTCCTTTCGCTCTAAAAAACAAGTTCAACTGAAGGCTCAGAGCCTGTCCAGTTCGTGGCTTGGCCCCTGGGGACAGGTGCGATGTGCTTTATGCCAGCATTGCACCGGGAAAGGTGCGCACGGACTCGCAACGTCAGAACGGACCGACTGCGGCGTTGTTGGTGGTGGTCGAAAAACGCCCGTTCCTTCGGGATACCGAACGTGAACACCCGCCGGTTCGCGCCGGGATCCCAGGATCTGGTGTGTGATAGCAGGGGTCTAGCTATACCAGAACCATGCAATTTTCAAGGGATCCAGTTACCACTATAGCTGGGAGCCCCAGTGGTTCCAAAGACAAAAACCATAGACCGAAGGAATCCCTGGTTCCTTATATAGTGCTTTGCCTGGGATCCACCGGGATTGATCTATCAAACAAAAGACGCACCCGAGAGCGTCCACCGTCCATGCGACGCAGCTATGCTCCTCTTTGCCCACTGAGAGCTGGTTGAGCGTGCGCAAACCCTCAGGGGATCGGACGTGACAGCAGCAGCATGACCCGCTGGTTGAGGCGAGAGCTGGTTGAGGCGTCACATGGGATCACCCGTTTGGATGTTTGGATGGGAAGGAAAAAGCAAGATGGTGTGAAAGTATTCCAAGATCTATCCAATATAGCTCCCTTCCCTGCACTGGAATATTTGATTTACATGATTGTAATCACCCGACGTGTTCCCTGCCAAATTGCATCTGTTTCTTGACGACCCTACTTGCATTGGAATGGTGCAAGCTGCAGCGCCACCATATGACCACCACTGCAGTCCCAATCTCTACGACAGAAACAAGTGTCAAAAAATGCAGAAGACCGTGGCATACTGTATACTCCCAAACCAATATAAAATCTATGGGAAGCCCATCGGTTTAGAGCGAACGCATGTGAAAGCCATGCTTTCCTGTAGATGTTCCCTTCAACCAATTCTGGGACATACGGGAGGTCAAGGGTGAAGGAAGGAATATGAGTCTGAATTCTGGCATTCATCTGATTACCATCATGCACAGCTTGCGACGCGATCTCGCCATATCTCGCCTACAAAATGCTTTCCCAGGGGGTAGCCCACAAGGACCCTGGACATGATTTACGGGATATCGTGCGCAAATATATACAAATATCAAATATATAATATATATATATATATGTCGAATGATTTGTTGACTCTTTGATGTCTGCTGATTGTCCGCTCTTTTTACATAAACACATGTCAAATCATGTTTCCCAGGATTCTTCCGCAGTGACTTGTCTCGACACCAGCCGGATCCCCACTCTGAGAATGGACCATTCTGTAAGCCAGGCTTCTTCCCTTTAGCACACGGAAAGCAATGCTGCTCGGTGATTTGGGCCCTCAACCCTAAGAACCCGTGGGCCTTCCATGGCAGGGGTCGGACCCTAAAAAAAGCAGGGTCCGGACCCGAACCAAACCCAGTCCCAGGATGATTGGCGTCCAAAGAATTACCTACCCAGGAAGGACGTGGATAACAATAACCTGCAAAACCTTTCTTGAGGAGTGATGGAGTGGTACCCCACAAAATATGAACGGAAAAAGGCTAACCTTTTTTTGGTCAACCCATAGCTATAGGGTATCACTTAACCTCTGTTGGAAGTACTTGACGCCGGACTTTCCAAGGAACACGATGGACCATGAACACCACGCAGGACGCAGGACCTCTTCAGAGCCCGACTGGGTGAAGTCATAGGCCCGTTGGCTACGAAAGCATAGTCCTTCTCATGAAGTCCTTCATGACTGTTGCTGGTAACGCTTCTGGGTGGGAAAACCGCTAGGAGCTGCAGCTAGCTAGCTGTGGGGTGGCCCACTTTTGCGACCATGGAGAGTCGGTCCTCAACTCCAAGAATCCAGCCCCGAACCAGCACATAGGGTGTGGCTGGTCTCCGCAAAGAGAACCACGGACGGTTCAGATCTCAAACTCACCTGTGGTCACCATCTGCGAACCAATTATCTCAAACGATCCATGCTGGCGGATCCATATGACCTGCATGGATTCACGACCTAAACGAAACACCAGTCAAACGGGGCGGCCATACTTCCATCGCCGGATCCATCGTCTGGGTGTTCGGCAAACGTCTGGAGACCCGTCAAGGGGCGTTGCCAATGACCAGGGCCTCTAAAAGCCTCGGTTTCAACGGGGCTTTTAGTCCGCACCGGCCGCCCGTTCGTGAAAATAAGGTGCTGTGGTCTTTGGCTGCAATCATCTTCCTATAACTGACACGGCCCATGTGACTGGCATCTACCTGCATGAGGTGCTTTTCGTGGGTAATGTAGGCATATATTTTGTTGAGGAGGTGATATGTCCTGAGACTATGCTGAAATGTGCTGAAACACAACGGCCCATTTCTGTCCTTTTGGAGTGTGGGCCATGTGGGATCACCCTGTGGCCTTGTAGAGGCACGGTGGGAGTGATTGAGCACCAAGTACCCAATGGTGCGGACTGACAGCCAAGCTGGTAATGTTGATGGAGCCGTCATTGTATTATAAATATGGCAAATATGTTATTGTGGTGATCGAGTGCTTTAATGGTGACACCTGGAATGCCGTGCATGGATACGAGTCCCATGTTCAAGGTGGCAGATTGTCATAGCTGATTTACGTTGGACTGGAGACTTGTTGGTTTGAACAATGCTACTTCTACAAAATCATGTGTAGAAGTGGCATTAAGTTTCCAACGGGTTTCCTGAACTAGACAAATATATACCAAAAAAAATATTATATATATATATATATTAATATTGAACATTTAAAGCAAGTTCCCCCACCCCCAAAAAATGTGGTGTGCTCTGGTAAAACCAAGTATTGTTCGTCTGATTTGTTCGCTTCACTTGATTCACCGGCCCGCCCGGTGGAGATATCCCCTGGACTTGGCCAAGCAGCTCTCTGAGCTGGTGTTCCTTCACCACTTGCTGAAATCTTAGACGGATGTTGCCTGAAGAGAATGAACAGTCAAGCCTTGTGCAGGCCGGACAAAGGCTTGACCAAGTCCAAGTATCACGGAATGTCATGGGTAACTGATGGAACACTATCCATTCTCCAAATCATGAACATGGAAGTGGAAAACGACCTTTTGTAGAGACAAATTTTCCAAAAGGCTTATTTTCTTCCATTACTATCTCCTAGGGAATGCATATGCAGTGGTGCCGAGTCTTCCACTGGCCTGTGGATGTTTCACTTCTGTTTCGGACGTCCGTTGGACGAGAAGGTGTTTACCTTGAGACTCTACTATTCGCAAGTCTTAAGCCTAAAAGGTCGTTTCTGCGAGTATTTAAGAAAGACCCAGCTCCTCATGTTTGTGCTGCTAGTGTTCTCTTCAGTTTCCCTCAGCTGGCCCAAAAAGCGTGGAGTGTGATTCTCTAAGCCATTCGCCATTAACTGTATGTGGCCTTGTAAAAAAAGGCTGTTACTGACTGCTACATGTAATAGGACAGACCCAAACTATTCAATCATATTGAATCTGTGGAACACAGCATTCAGCATATACGAGTGGAGCTGGACCAACTTCCATTGACTGCACAAAAACACAGCACAGGACATCCGGACCATCTACAAGTAACATCTTCAGCCCAGCCGTGTGATTGGTGCCGTGCTTTTTGTCCAAACCTGAGTGTCTACAGCCATCTTCCCTTCAATTGACATGGTCATCAATTCAACAATGGCCGTTCTCGGACAACAGGAAGGCGCGTTTCCACTCCACGTCTTCGCCAAGCAGCTGTGGTAGTTGTTTGGTGTGCAAAAGGCCCATCCTTGGTGCGCCAAGCCGGGTTTTGGGCCCATTAGGAGGAACCATATAGGATTGGCATGTATGATTCATATATTTATATATATATATATGTGCATAATTGTGGCATATGTTAGGAAATGTTAGGAATACATACCAGTAATTACCAGTATATATTCATTGATATCTTTATATCATTTACCTGCCTTGGCTGTGTTTTGGGGGGGGGTCAATACCTTTCATTCATGGCATGTCCGGTAACCGGATGCTGGTGTTTGGTCGTTCATGTCTTTGATGCCAACGAGTGAAAGCTTCGCCACTCACATGGCAGAGACTCTCGGAGCGCACCGGCACTGGGGGACTCAAGACGTGCCATCCGTTGATGTGACAGGGGCACCAAGAAGCACCCAACTCCATGGTTTTTCTGCAGTCTTTTTGTTTCTTCTCGATTCCTTTTTAACTGTTTCTGTTTTGATTCAGATCCAGAACACGACAGTGGAAGACGCCAGATCACCAATGGGGACCCTTGAACCTTCCTTCCACAAAACGCTGTTGACCCTCCGGCCTCAACTCGTCCTATCCGATGCCAATGAAAGAACATCTTCGGTCCTCAACCCAAAGCCAGGTCAAGTACTATTGCCCCTGGGAAAGTGAACTAGGATCCCATTGGAAGCCAAAACGCATCGCTTGGAAGGACAAAACTGCTTTTGAAGAGCTTAGTCATCACCCCGAGGAATACACAGAATTCAACATTCAGACCTCGAGAATTTGTTGCCTCGATGCAGGACTCGAGTTGCCCGTGGTTTCCCTGCACTCCAGCAGCACATGCTTTCCCGCACAAACCGAAACGCAAACGAGATGCCCAAGAACTGCTCCTGGTCTAGCACTCCCAAGCCCTGAAAATCCTGAGATCTTCGCATGGCAGGCTTCGCCATGGCGAAGCGCTTCAGCGGTCGTCCAATGGCGAAAAGGGAAAATGAAATAAATCAAAAAAGCATACATTCCACATTATACCACTCATCCCACCCCAGTGTCCAAGAAGGGGCTGGATTGATCAAACTCCTGATGATTTTCAGATTGTTCTAGGGGGATTAGTAGGAGAGAGAGCGCGGCATGGGTCTTTCCTCCTTGCCGGCTGTGATCTGGCTCTGCTCCGCTAAAGATCAACCGTTTGCAGCCCAAAGCTGCAAATTGTGGGGAGAATCAAAGGCAACACCAACAACAAATGCTTCTCCCAACGATCTCGGCTTTGGGCTGCAAAGGAGTTGAACCGGATCCCAAGGATTTTGGACATACTGCTGCACAAAAGGGAACGTATGTACCTGGACCTTCAAGGGGTGTCCAATGGAGGTCCCTAAGTAGGGCAGGGGCTTCCATTGGTGACCCCTTTGAAGGTGCTGGTATGTGATATAGCAAGCTGGCAGCCGTCAACTCTTTCCAGGAGTTTCTGCTTTCTGAGACCAGGCTCCGCGAGAAACAAGTGCGAGGGACGCGACAGCAAGAGAGCTGTTCGAGGAGAGCTATTTCTTGTCGTGGCTGTCTAGGATCCATACCCTAGGGATCCACGTACCTTGTCGAAGGTGATTGGAGGCTATGTATGTAGGTTTGGAGGGTCCAGCCGTACCTTCTGAGGTTCGGTACGGCTGGATCCCTAGGGATAGGCTGTAGGAAAACCAATCACCCGGTCCGCAGGTCAGCCCGCCGGATGTTCAAAGCATTCGGTGCTTGGAGGAGTCATTTCCAGGCTCTGGATGTTGGGAGATGCATGGCCGCCATATCCCTGTTTGGTGGCTGCAGATCTGCAAAAACATGTCAGTGGGAGACCTTCTTACTCCAACATGTCAAACTTCCTCAAGATGTATGGAATTCCACTTCGCAAGCATGCCTAATCATTGTCTACATTCTACATATGTTCAACATCTCCATCACAGATACTGGTCAAGATCTCATCAAAATACACTTCTCTTCTTAGAAGTTGCCAAAGCATGGAGACCCTCACCGACACCATCCCACACCATCCATGGGACTGGAATAGGAATTTACATCCTTCACCCCGCATCTATGTAACAATCTCCAGTCCCAATCGTCTGGTAGGAATGACTTCATCCTTGCGGCTTCGAGGTCATATACTCATATACAAATACATATTTTTGTTGAAGACATGTGGCAAGTGGAACGCCCACTATAGGTTGGTATTCTAGAAAGAACCTGGTGCGTTTGAACTCATTTTCCCCTTCCATGTTGGAATTCGAATTATATAGGGCCTAACCATATCCTCAGAAGGTGGTTAGACCCCCAACCCCACCCCAACTATCTTGTCAGGAGGTAGTTGATGGAGCCCTAGGGATGCACTTTATTGAATCTGACAATTTCAAAAAAAACAATCGTGCAGGACCAGAGTACGCCAAGCATCCAATGCCTCGAAGATGGCATTACTCCACTCTTCCGACATGGCATCCTGGTTCGACCGATCCATGGCACTGGTTCCAGAGGCGAGAAATGGCACCCCATATCACCCGAATGATGTCCAAAAGCCGAGCTTGGGAGTTCATAAACTTAGCTTTATAGGGGATATATACTCTGCCATACTCATGATGTCAATGTAGTTTCGGGTCAAAGGCCTGGAAAATCCGATGCACGGAGCTGTCCTTGCCCTGGGCAATGGCAAAGAGCATCTCCGCAAAAGCTTTCTTGTCCAGCAAGCCTCGAGCTCCACATGACGTGAGATGTTCCATAAAATGCTGATGAAAACGCGCCTTTAGGATGAACATAGCTTAATATACATTCCCGAGAACTAAAATGGAAGTGGAAAATGGCCTCTTGGAAGATCATTGTTTCCCCTACAATGTGGGGTTTTCCACTTCCATGTTAGTTCCAGAGAAAGTATCGATCTGTATTTCACATACCGTATTGTTATGTAGACTGATTTTGTTTCAACCCCCATATGAAGAGGATTGTCCAATTCAAGTGGGGGATTCATGAAGCAAGAGTCTAAACGTGACTCAGTCTGGCCCTCTTCGTCTCGTGACTCAGTCTGAAGAACTTGCCTACCGACAAAAAGACTGGTGTCATCTGGTCAACAGGAAAAGTGATGTCCGGTGGAATAACAGTTTGATGTTGTTTTTGGTGAAGATAGTGAAGGCCATTGCTATGAATCACTCTTGGTGAGGTCTCCATCTCTCCATGGGTGCTTTAACATGCTTTAACCAATTGTAAACATCCATATCGTGTCTTGTCAAGAGCTTATCTTGCATCAAAGTTCCCACATTGCAAGCTACTGAGCCAAAACATGAATCATAGAAACATTAGAAACCAACACCAGGCTGGCATGCTTGGTCACGGGACACGCTTGTAACATGCACGCCTCTTCCACCCTTCCAAGGTCGTGGTCCTAATACTGCACCACTTCTTGATTTTTCCCGGGCTCGATGACGCAACGGTCTTCTGAAGTTGACCTCTGAATTTCCAGGTCCGAATCATGTCAGACCAACAGAATCCCACACAGATTCATCAAGGCCAGCTTCACCCGTCGGATGAGCTGAGAACCAACATCCGGAGGTCATGAAGCTGAAGGAAAGAACGAACGAGGATTCTTGATGATTCTTGAGGTTCCCACATGAGATTATAGTGGATTTCATTGTCCCCGGCAAAGACTTTGGAACTGGTGCAAGGGAGCCGTTGATTCGCAACTCCAGGAACTGGAATCCAAACACACCGAGACTTGGGTCACCGCCTGTGTTTCCATACGCGCGCACCTGGCGGATTACCCGCCATGAACGCAAACAACACAGGGACAGGAACATGTCTGCAAGGAACATGTCATGTCCATTCATTTCACACACGAATCATGACTGTATCCTGTATCCCCTAATGTCACACAGGATTCTGTCTAACATGTCAAATTTCCTTAGTGTCCTTAATCTGCAAATGGACCATACTAAAGACTATATTTCGTTGTGTGCTGGTCGGTCTTGACACCCTATACCCCAAGCGCAGAATCCCAGATTGCAGGATTAGAACGAAAGAAACACTCGGTCTAGCTTTGTACGTGTCGTTTTGGATGGTTCGGCCCCTGCTCACCTCAGATTGCCAGAGTTTGGTGTTCGTCGCTAGACTTGTGGATCTGGAGCGATGGGAAGTTGTTCGCCCCTCCAGATCCAATCCTCCAATCCTGTCGACGACCCAGTCCCCATGTCGACTGCGGGAGTCGGCTTTGCCCCTCCGTTTCTGTCGACATAGGCTTCCAGGTTAGGTCGTTGTGTCATTGTTGGTTGACTTGGATTTGCTTAAGGAACCGGCAAGACATGCTCAGAAGAGAATTCATTGGAAACAACAGCGCCCCTACACCAAAACCAAGCTGATCTGGGTCCGAATGAACCTCACTCCATGTGGATCACACTCCTCGCTTCGACGACCACGTGAAGCTCCGCAACGAGCAGAATCCGATCGGATCCTCCCCAACTTGTGGCACTGAGGTGTCCATGGAGAAAAACATACTCCACTCCACATATACCTGGACCCTCCAAGGCGTGCCCAATGGAAGCCATCCTAGGTAGTGTGGGGTAGTCCAGCCAGGACACCCATTGCATGATCCTGGTATATATATATATAGCCTGAGGACCCCCTCAGGATAAGTTGCTACTGAACTTGCTACTAAGTACTAGAGCTGTGCCACTAGGAGCACGAACAGCCGCTGCCTGCAGGAGTTAAGAGTTCGCAGCTCCAGGGTGTTCACCCGTGTGCACCCAGGCACACAAATTAAAGGTGCATCAAGTGGCGAAAGGCAGGCTTTCAGGTGTCCTCTTCGGCAGTTCTTTGGTGAGTTGGAATGTTATACCGCCTTTTGTCATGCGAACTCATCCAACTGTCTCATCGTCATGTGTTCAGTTAAACTTCTTTTTCAACTCATCCCAGCGGCCGACCCTGGCTTGAGGCTCTGCCTGAACCCTCCCATCGCCGCCTTGTCGTGATGATCGAAGAAATCCATGGCCGTTGGGACGTCCAAGACCCGGACGCTCGGCGGCAGCCTGGGGTCCATCTACGAAGAAAACGCCGCAAGCTCAGCGGAGATCTCGACTAAGACTTTGGCGTTCGGATTTTTTGGTTGTTTGATTTTGACACTTGGGGAGTTTGAAGTTGAAACTTGGGGAGTTTCATCAAGTCATGTTGATGGACAATCCAGCTCTCAAGCTTTTTTTCTGACTGGATCTTTGGGAAAACATAGTGCAACCATGGAAGGCCCATTGACAATTCTAATGTAGGTGCGGATTGGACACTGGGAGGTTCACGGGAATGGGAAAGAACCCTGAGCTTGATCAAACAATTTCAGGGTCGGGATGGTCAGGATGCACCCACCACCCTCCTGGGTTTCTGTCACACAGAACCTGGAAGTGTTCAATATATATATATATAGAGATAGACTCATCCCTCAAATGCTTTGTGATGCACACTCTGCCACCTGCCATAACCACCATAAACAGGGGGGCATGAGGAACAACATAGAACTACCAAATTTCATGAAGTGAATCTGTGTTTGATGTTTGAGTTGAATCCCAAGTCATCACTGGTTTCTTGCTGAAAGGATGAGCGTTCACGTTCCATTTCATGCTAGCTTCACAAAGTCACATGCACAAATGAACTAGCAAACAACTGCATGGCGAAAAGTTCACTCAGGCGTTTTTCAGGTTCTAGACTAGGAACCATATTGGGGAACTGCCTGTCTAGTTCTCCTTAGCGCACTTCAGTCGCTCAAGAACAGAGTTACTCCAAATCATGCCAAATCTTCTGGATTGAGAACAATGTCTCCCCCAACCAAAGCTCCATGACAAGCCACGAATGGACACAAGTGTAAACATTCCGCTGACAGTCAGTATAAATAATTGGAAATAACGTATATTATACAGTAGTTGAGCTCTCCACTTCCATTGCACATCTCATATGGAACTCTCACACACCACTGGTTTGCAAGGGAACACTGGTCAGGAATAAGACGTTAATAAACGTGTTCCTGAAAAAAAAGAAAAAAACAGAACTATAGGCTTCCCGTGTACCAGTATGTGCGTGTGTTGAAGGCACCAAGCGAATTTCCTGCCTGGAGGTATTCTGAGAGATCTCCTCCTGACTATTCTGACTTCACTGGAACCTGCTAAATTCTGTTTGATCTTTCTCCCCAATGTAGGCCTCTGCGATAAAAAAGAACAGCGAAAAACCCTACGGACCGAGCGGCAGCTGATGCCCGGGCAGGGCAGGTGGGTCCAAATCTGTAAAGCTCGAGGTGCCTCCTGCGGTGGACATCGGGTGGCGGTTTCCGAGGGGGGGGCCTTGCACCCTGTAGCATTTTTGGGGCCGTACTTGGCCCTCCAAATTGGGAATGTGTTCAGTGTCAAAGCTGAAATACCAAACCTAGAGGCAACTGGACTCTTGCTGCGGAAGCGACATCCGCAAGAGAAGCTCAGAAAAGCATCACAATAAGAAATCATATATGAACATACATATGTGAACAGTAAAAGACTCGTTGCCCTGCTGCTTGAGCTTTGACTGGTGAAAGATCGTACTTCATCACCCCTTCACAGAATCTCTCCACCACGTGGCACCGACCACAGGTGCCCGTCATCTCCGGTGCGTCATGTCCACCGACCAGGCAAGAGCGCAAAAGCCTCACACCCGGCGCCCGAGTCCTGCACCGCACCTTTTTTCGGATCCTCTCCCGCGAGTCGCGGGGCATCCGCGCTGGTTGCGCCGATAGACGCACGGCGACCTTTAGGCCCAACGTCGTGCACCCCTATGCTCGGAACCCTGTTTTAAGCAAGGGCACGGGAAGGATTACCAAAACGAGTTTCACAGTTTCACAAAGAACACCGATATCGTTTTTGCGCCAACCCTTCCACCATGCTACCAGCAACTAGGGTCCGAAATGACATTCGAAAATCGGGTGAAACCTACCACCCACCGCGGCTTCCGCGGTTTCCACCCACGCCCTGTTGGCGGTAGGCGAGTGGAGATCGTCGTGAAAGGCCCGTTGATGCACGACGTTGGCTTCTGGACAGCTCTTGGTCACCTCTATCTCTCCCTGCAGAGTCTACCTGTCTCACAAGTTGCATTAATTGTATCACACCTATATATAACACTATAGGCTCTCTCCCCCTCTCCCTCTCTCTCGCTGCTATGCCCTGCTCATGTCTCTTTTTCTCAAGCCAATGCCAACCCCACCACCGTTACAGCTCCAGTCAATGCCCTCAAACTACCTCTTCAGCACGCTCAGCACGCTTCACGCACCACAGTGGGGTTGACCATCGACTGCTTCACGACTCTGACGTCCTTCGCGATCTGCTTGATGGCCTCCCCAATCGCCATCTGTCTCTTGGGACAGTGAATCAAAAATGATAGGGGAGGGCTTAAGGGCCCCCCCTGTGAAAGACCCTAGGAATAATTTAAAATTATTCTGACCCCCCTTGAGTTAGTTTTCAAAAATTATTCTGGTAACTGGTTGAGTTCCAGGAATATTTTTTAGCTTTCTCTATATCTTCATATAAAAAACATATCAACACAGCGACTCACACAGCAAGAGCAATCTGACATAATCTGACTCATTCTGATGAACCGTTTTTATCATCAAATCGCCATATTGTGAAAGACTTCGACATGGCTGCAAAATGCTGCCAATCTAAAATCTAAATCTGAACATTGGTTTTCCTACGTTTTCCTTGGTTTTGTACATGGCCAGCGATTGCTAGCTTCTTGTATTCCTTATATATCCTTATATATATTTGTTGTTTCTTGATGTTTCTTGTTTGAGCCTCTCACTCGCGTCCAGCTGCTGACTTCAGATCATCAAACGTCGCAACTTGAGTATTCTTGAAAATTATTCCAGGGGGCCCTATGACTAGCCCTTTGATAAAATAATAATCCACCAAAATTATTCCAAAAAAATTATTCCGCTATCCCACAGGTCCCCTGGAATAATTAAATAAGCCATCCCCTATCAAAAATGACCCTTTTGATGAATAGATGTCATACCACCAAAAGCACCTGCATTCTTCACGCGTAGAGTCATGGAATGAACAATGTTCTAAGGTCCGTAAGGTCTTGCTATCCACCCGAGCTCATGTATCCCTCCGTGCCAACAGCGCACCCACGGCTCGCTCGCACCTCTCGGGTGAGCTTGTTCTCCTGAGATGAGCCCAGATCGTTTAAAGGTGGTTGAGCTTGGCGGTTGGCAGTTGCCATGCCGGTTTTTGATTCACAATAGGCATCGTGAGTAAAAACAAACCATCACTCTTGCGACATCGTACACGCTCGTTTCTGTGCGCAAATCTGTCAGGTTCGATCAAACGACGTGACGTGACCGACCCGCAGGATCTAAGCCAAAGCCCCCAGGTTTTTGAGTGCCAAGAGTACCAAAGAGCTGCTGGCTGAGTGGTGGGGTCAGTAGGAAAACCATGAAACAACTGGATGACCAGTGGAAGTTCCACCTCATCAAGGATCAGTTGATGGCTTGACAAGGACATGTTTTGAGGTTGGACATTCATGAAGCATGCATGCAACCAAGAGAGGTTCAACTGGTGCCACCACCTGTTCCAAAACCACCTGTTCCAAAACCCCCTGTTCCAATGCTAAACAAAAGCCACACATCAATGTGGCGCGCCATGTTTCGTAACCCATCTTGGCCACTTGCAAGCTTTGGGCCGGCCCGCGCAATTGCATGCATCCAGATACAAACCTCTCAAAATCAGCGGTCGGCGGAGCTGTCCCGATGGTGGAAGAGGTGATCGAAAGGGTGTTTCTTGCCCAACCTGAGGCTCCACGAAGAGTTGTGCGTAGTTTTTGTTTCTAAATGAAGTGTATGAGGAACAGTGTTCCAAAAGAAAATGACTCCCCCAGAGATTCGTTGAACTGGAACGATGGGCCCCTTCCCAATGAATGGCCGCCATCGCTCACCGATGACGGACCATGTCCCAGCACCGAACCGACGACCGGTGTGGTTCTTTCCCAGATTTGGAGAGCCCGAACTCAGATCCAATGCCCCAAGCCAATGCTCCAGCTGGGAGGTCTAAATCCAAACTCCATTCACTTGGATGCCCCAATGAGCATAGACCTGCGGGAGAGAAAACAAAAACACGTTGAAAGTTGGTAACATGATGTAAAAGGACGTAGTCAAACCAGTGGTCCATGATGCAGTTAGCAAAGTTCTCACAGGGTATGATTATCTGTCTGTGAGTGCGCCTACATACAGCCAATGTTAATATAACCCCCGATTTGTATCTGTCGGGTCTATCATGGTCTATCACCGGTAACAGTGGATGATGGTTGCTCAAGGCCTTGTTCAAAAATAGTGATAGTCTATAATGCAGAGTTAGGATTAATAAACGCCCCCAAGTTAAACCGAGCCCACACAGCCTCGCAAATTCACCCAAATTGAAAGTAGTATTGGAGCTAAATTACACCCCTGATAGTGTACTTGTCATCTAGAGACCCCACCCCAATTAAACCGAGCCAAACAACCCAGAAAATATAACGATCTATTTTTAGTTATTAGATCAACTAAAGCGATTTATTGATCATGGTACAACTACCATCATCATGCTGCTCATCTCTATCCAATCATGCTCATCAGTTCATCCCGTCTCAAAACCCTAGGTATCAACGCCTCTCATATTATTCAGGGGGAGTGGACCTCATGAATGGTAACCTCAGACCTTCTGGACCTTGTTGACCTTCTATGTGGGGGGGGGGCCGGTTGATCAATCCGGGGATTGCATTAGTTGTTTCATGACGGTTACAGGTCAGAACGGACAGACCCAATGTATCAGCATTCTCACCTGACTCCTCAAGGAAGGTCCGTTCTGAAAACCAACCGTCGGCCCAGACATACGCGAGTCGGATGCAGTGTCATGGTCGCCATGGGTCTTTATACCGGAACAAAAGGTCGTCTTGTTGCAATTGATGGCAAAACATCCCAAATCTGATTTGTCACCAACGAAAACCACTTCACCACTGGCAAACGAGTAGTCTCTGATCTGTTTCATCTGATTCGTTTCCGCCTCAGTGGAGTGGATGTCCTCTCACCATCTCTCACCAAACAATCCATGAGACTGGCCTACCGGACCTCAGTTTATCTTTTTAGTTGTTACTTCCTGGAATCAATGGGGCATGCGTGTGGGATCCTCGAACTGAGTCCTGGGAAGTCAATAAACATCCACATTCCAACACCATTAAAGGAAAGGTATAGGAAAGGTTGACCTGGTTTAGTCAGGTGAAATCCTTACTTAGTACAACACTGGTAGTTCAGTAATAATGACATCACATCAATATAAATAGAAATCAATGGTGGGCCAGAAAGCTGGCCAGAAAGCCTATGGCATCCAGCTTAACATAACCCTTCAAACGCTTAACATCATAGCACAGGCCTGCCCACACCTGGCCGTCATGCCCTCATGCGTTCTCAAAAAAAAAAACACTGTAACCAATCCCAAACAATTTTTAGTATGTGAAAACCAGGTAGTGTATTTCAATGTTATTTTTTCTCAGGGAGTTGCGATGACCTTGTCAACCAAGAAGAAACACATCCATCAAATTGTCTTTCAAAAGCCGTATTGAACACCACCTGCCCTGCGGAACACTAGAATAAGAACTGGCAGAGCATCCCTATAGCCAGCAGCAAAAGCATCGTCCAAGTCCTGCTTCTCCGTTCCCTTTTGTTCCTTCAAGCACAGGATCAACCAGTCAAACGTCCGACACCCGGCGAGATAGACTTGATTCACCTGGGGGACCTCCAATAGAACCATCCTCCGAGCCCTAAAAACAAAGCCAAAATGGACCTGGGAAGTCCATGGCACCCGGGTTGTCCGACTGTTTTCTTCGTTTGCTGCACCAATGGTTGTTCAGAATCCATGGGATCGTTTTTTTTTTCCTTCAGCCGGGGTATACATCATCCTTTCATCCTCCAGGGAGCTCATCAATGTCGACCACACCATTGTCGTCCTCGTCGATGAGCAAGAAGAGTGTCCAAAGATCGTCCGTGGAGATACCCATCGATTGTAGAAAACTGCTAAGCCTCAGGCGCTGGCTTTGGGCGGACTTTTCCGCGCGGGTGGGAAACCGTGTTCTGGTGGATGGCCACCATAGCTATCGGGGAGATGCCTCAAAAAACCGGCGGGCGCTCGAGGCGAAGTGTTTTCCTCCTTTGCATTGTAGGAAACACACGACAACGATCAGCCTCAACACGTCAAAATTGGATCCTCCCACTGGTTTGGGTCGATCTACAGTACCTCTTGGTGCACAT